GGGGGGGGGGGGGGGGGGTCGCTGATACAGACAGCTAGGGTGATCTGAACAAGTAACAAGTGCTAAAGGGCGCGATTTTGGGCACTAACCTAGGCATGCAGTGTGCTGAGGCACCTATGACACTTGTTGGGATGTCTCAGGCGGCGGACAGTATTCTTGAAGTGCCTATGGCACTAGGTGTTGCTCGAGGGGCGCCCATGGAACTAGGCACTACTCGAAGAGTGCCGCTGGTAGGCGACTTTGCTGATAGCGATGAAGGAGCGTTGTTTGGGGATAAACACAGGCAGAGCTTGTTTGCGCTAGGTGTTAAGTGCGGGGGTGCTGCAGCAACAAGGCGATGGTGCCAAATGGACACAAAATGATGAGGCCCGATTGTTGACATTCAATTTAATGTAGTCTCTCAAGTTGCAGACGACATGAGTTTCAAGAGCCTGGATAAAGATGGTAAAAATAATGTTATTCTAAACATTAAAATATCTAACATAGTTACCTGGATATAGAAGTAAGCTGCTTGTGCGAAAGCAAAGACAGAGTTGAGGATTGCTCGTGAGAGAGCTACATCTTTTGATACCAAGCTTTTGGCGACCCATGAGAGAGTCCTTAAACTTGGGGTATAGGCTGCTTGCTTGAGAGTAGAACAAAGGCCAAGCTTTTGACGACCCACAAGAGAGTTGCTCAGCTGGAGATAGGTTGCCTACTTGAGAGCAAAGTAGAGACCAAGTTTTTGGCGACCCGTAAGAGAGCTGCTCAGCTGGAGATTGGTTGTCTGCTTGAGAGCAAAGCAGAGACCAAGCTTTTGATGACTCGTGAGAGAGTCACTCAGCTGAATATANGGTGGAGATAGGTTGTCTGCTTGAGAGCAGAGCAGAGACCAAGCTTTTGATGACTCGTGAGAGAGTCACTCAGCTGAATATATAGGTTGCCTGCTTGAGAGCAGTGCAGAGGCCAAGATTTTGGCGATCCGCAATATGATTCACCTTGCCTGGACTTGTAGATTTCTTCAGCATTCATATATTTTTGAACTTTTGCCAATAGTTCTACTATGCTCTTTGGTGATTGCTTCATTTCTAAAAAAAGAAAACTCGATGAACGAAGACCTCCCAGAAAGGTGGTCATGATGACTTTGTCATTAAGCTCCTTGATTTGGAGGATATCCTCATTAAAATGAGTGAGGTAACTCCTCAGACTCTCATTTCGATCCTATTTTACACTGAGCANACGAAGACCTCCCAGAAAGGTGGTCATGATGACTTTGTCATTAAGCTCCTTGATTTGGAGGATATCCTCATTAAAATGAGTGAGGTAACTCCTCAGACTCTCATTTCGATCCTGTTTTACACTGAGCAAATAGATGGTAGGTTTCTGCTGGCGGCATCCACCAATGAACTGTGCCATAAATGATCTGCTCAGTTCGGTGAAGGAGCCTATGGAGGCCGAGATGAGTTTGGCAAACCATTGGCGCTCTAATCCCTTCAAGGTAATCGATAATGCCCTACACACAATTTCGTCGGGATGTTGTGCAGCTACATTAAGGTCTTTGTAGGTTTCGAAGTGATCAAGTGGGTCCTTTGTACTGTTGAAAGTTTCTATAGATGGTATTTTGAACTTTTGGGGAAGAGGGTAGTTTACCACATATGGCGCAAAAGGTGTGTCAGTTGGCCTTACAAGGTAGTCCACGATTTCTGATCCTTGTGCCTTCATGGCATTCAAGACGTCGTCCAGTCAATTCTATATTTCTTTAATTTTTTTTGTCCCAGTGATTTGGGGCTCCTTTGGAATTGTCTTGAAAATGGCTCTCATGCTCCACACTTTGATTCTCGCCTTTATCCTCTTGGAAATTGGGATCTCCGGAAGAGGGAGTTTGAGGTGGAGGTGGAGGCCCTTCATGGTGGGCTCCCCTGTATGGGGAGCCCCCTTGGGGGCCAAGTGGGGAGCTTCTCTGGTTTGGAGTATCACAGGTTGTGTTCCTCCTTGTCCAGCGAGCATCAATTTCAAAATCTGTTGGTTCTGAGCTACAAGCTGCTACATTATTTCTAGTATCTATTGTGCATTCGAAATGAGATTGATTGGTGGAGGAGCAGCCTCTTCCTCTTGTGCTGGATTGTCTTCAGCCTGATTCATGGATCTGGTGGTGAACGTCATTTGTACAACAAGAAAGGTAATTAGGTGAGAATTTTGTTGTTTCCACAAACGGCGCCAAACTAACGATGAACAAATTGGGTTTGTACACCATCTGTCAATTGAACAGTAAAAAATCCAGTAATTGACAAGTGAGAAATAAAGACAAAAGTAAAATAAGGTTTATAGTGGTTCGGTCCATGTGACCTACGTCCACATTGAATGGCTAGGATTACCGAGTATTTTATTAACTCAAGTGTGTAGGGAGAGTAGAGAGTTACAAGCAATGAGAGGGAGAGGGGAGATATGCTCGATTGAGTGTGATGCCCCCCAAGTGTTGGCGGGACTTACAATTTATAGTCGTCTCATAATGGATGAAAGCGACTTAATTGTGATTAAATAGAGGCTCTTGGATGACCCTTGCATGCTCCCCTGTTGATGTAGCTCCGCGAATCTGATGAGCTTGACCGAACGTGGATTACTTCGGGCACTGGATTTCTTGGAGTTGGGCTCTTAATTTAAACTAGACTCGTAACATGAGTTGGGCCCTTGGGCCTGACCTATCAACTACTGATAGCTCTATAAATAGGAAACATAGGGTCTTCCAAGAAAAGAGACCAATGAAGAGGAAATGAAGGAGGAGGGAAGATCAAGAAAGCTCCGCCCCAGTCCATTCCATGAGGAGAAGAGAAGAACAACAACGAACCTCTGTTGAAGTCAACCTCCAACTGAAGTCTTGTCAATCTATCTCTGAGGAGAAGAGCACATCGTCAAGTTCCTTCTTCGAGAGATTCAAATTAATTTCTAGTCATTCAACACAAAAACTACTGAGAAGATCCAATAAAGTCATTATCAAATCAAAAAATGAGCATCTCGTAAATCCAACCCCATCTTCAACAAATCCACCAAAGTCCTCATCAAAACGAAAATTGAGAATTACGTCAACCCGATCGTCGCATTCATCAAATTCACCAAAGTCATTTCCAAATTGAAGATCAATAATCATGTTGATCAAGTTCTCATCATCTAAATCCACAAAAGTCAACACCAAAACTAAGATCGAAAAACAAGATGACCAAGCTCCCGTCTTTATTAAATTCATCAAAGTTATCACCAAATCAAAGATAAAAAAGTACGTCGATCCAACCCTAGTCATTATCAAATCCACCAACAATTAAACAGTAGTGCATGTGAGAAGTACACCAAAAAGAATTAACACCACTAATTTTTGTTCAAAATCAAACGCCCGTAATTTGACATTGTTTTTGTATTAACTAGTAATGCACGACGTGCATGCATGCGAATGTATTTAAATAAATATTTTTTAATCAAAATTAAATTATATTTGTAATTAAATCAAATTATAAATTATATATCAAATAATTAATTCTTATTTTAATTATTACTAAATCTAATTATTGAT